ATTCAGTCTTGGTACCCCTACAGTGGTCCATCATCGCAATGTGCATTTCAGCAAGACGTAAACCACTCTAGAGGCACTGCACAGCAGACGGCCCTGCACTCTGACCTCTGCGGAGAAATGTGTGATCTGGAGGCTATGTCAGCACCCATAAACGTGTACTAAAACTATTCAATATTTCTATGAAGCTGGAGCTCTTGTGAGAGAAAGATTAGAAAAACAAAGTAGATAAAATTGATGTTCACATATCCTGATCAGATAGGAAGTCTGAATTAGACCCGCCCAGTCTGGTAAATTCCTACTTCTTTCAAACAAACCAAACACTGGCTCTACATACGGATGTTTGCACTGAAGTTTCTCCTTGGTGCTTGGAAGGTGAAGGAGAAGCGAGGGAGTTGCAATCTGCAACTACTTCACTATAGATGCCACTAAATCCTACACACTGGTATAAAGAATAAGGCAAGAATATTCCATATTCCAAATCCTATGGCAAGACTAAAACCAACAATGTTTCTCAGTACTTTCTTCCCTACCGTGTATGTGGCACTCCCAAGCTCTGTTGTTTCTATTTATGTTAATCTTAAAATAGGGCTCACAAATAAATAGTTACATGTTTTAAAGGCTCTGTCATTTCCTAAAACAGTTGTAGTTTTTAGAAACCATCAAAATATAGAAAATCACCAGCCCTATCCTTTCAGCTACAGGCAGTGAAGTATTGTGAGTGGCTGTATAAGAACGGTCCTAACTAATACAACTATGTGTTTTAAGGGCAAAGCTACAAACCCACACTCAGAGGGTCACTTAAACAGAACAAAATAAGGACACCAATCTAGAGACAATTTAACTGCTCTTCAGGAAAGACATTTCTCTAAGAGCACATGCTTTATTGTCAAATATGGTTTTCGGCTAAGTAGAAAATAGCATCCATTCTAAAATAAAAGCATATGAACTTCAACAGTACAGTTAGTGGAACTGTGACTGACATGCCTTGTTTCTGTTTTCAGATGTACTTCTGTCTTAACCATCCATACTTGTTTATACGTTTTCTGTCCTTTCTGTACCAAATAAAGATGATTCAAAAACATGAGCTAAAGGAGAAGGTCAACTTTGCATCTTACTGAACTCTGCAGTGGAATAAGTACCGAGCAATGACATGAAAGTACAGCCAGTCTGTTTCCGGCACAGTGGTGAGCCCATCAAACTGTATTTCTTCAAACTACGCAATGAAAGCTATTTTTGTGGTGGTTCCCCACTTGTATATTTTGACTTTTTTTCTCCTGGCAGTGTTTTTCAAAGAGCTTCCAGTCCAGTGAAGTAGAAATGCCATAAAAATCAGGTTTGAAAAAAAGAAGGTGTTTGACCTTGAGGCTTGATACTGGCTGCTGTCCTCAGAGGACTGTCTGGCTGTTCCTGCACGCACACACTGTAGGTGTGTGTGTATGTGCATGTGTATGTGCATGTGTCTGTCTGAGAGAGAGAAAGAGTGCAAGAACAAAAAGAAAGGGAAAAACTTTTTTGCATTTAAAGGATCATGCAACCAGTCTGGCTTTCATTCATTCATTCATTCATTCATTTACACTGAGACTATGTGAATCTATGTATATATGTGCATATGTACATGTAGCTTCTATGAAATATAGTGCTAGTGTTTTGTTGATAGTGCTAGTGTCTCTGAAATTTAAGACTACATTTCCCATAAACTATAGCTAAATGATTTGAATAAAACATTTTTTTTTTTTGGTTTTTTTGGGACCAATATTGAGATTGTGGCCTAAATTGCAATTATTTTTTATAACTGAAGGTCTTATTGGGTGTCTGCGAAGAATTCAACACTTAATAAAAAGAAATGGAAAACAGGGGGAATGATACGCTACATTACAACAACAAGCTAAGCAGTCATTTAGAGAAAAGACAACTAACAGGTAAATTTAGCAAGTCTTACCTAGCTAAAAAATACAACATTTGCTTGTGTTAGATATTACAATAGTGTCTGTAAGTAGTATTGCTGGTCAATAGTTTTCAAAAATAGTTGTGACATTCATATTGCCCATATATGTATAACAGCCCCTAATGATACAAATGGCAGCTCTAGACTTTAGCTGCTTTAGCTAACATTAGCTACTCACTTCAGAATTATACAGATGGGTGTTTTTTACTGAACAGAACGGTGTGACCCGTTCAGTATAGATACAGCCACCGTCAGGCAGAGGACATATTAACCTCAAGTTCCCCCATGCCATGCTAAATTCACTGTACTCTGTGGTTTTACTGTTAGCGACCGTTAGCAACCTTAAGACTGACGTTGCTGTGTCAATTTGCTGACTTTATGACTCTTCTCTACTTCACACAAATTGTGTTTTAGCATTTAACATTATCCCATCTTATTTTCTTGTGACCACAGTGAGCTTTAATTAGCTACAGCTAACAACAGTAGCTACAGTTGCACTAAACATAAAAAAGTACACTTTTACATTTTAATGAACATTTCTTTAAACATTATGGAAGGAATTTTTGACCAGGTGGTTTATGTGAAGTGCAACGTAGAGGGCAGTAAAGCGTTCTGATATTCATGCACTTGTGTATTGTAATGCTGATTAATCAAACTTAATGTGGTATGTTACAGGTGTAATGACACCTTTTATAAAAAATATGGTCTAACTGAAATGCTCTTTCAAGCCTTCGTAGATACTGGAACATTGTGCACGCAAAAGCAGAGAAAGCAAAACAAGGAAAACAAAGAGATGTGTGTGTGAGAGAAGCGCGTGTGACAATGACGAGGGAAAACAGGCAGACACAGAGGGAGCGACTGGCAGCTGAAGAGTAATCGACAAAACTCGACAGAGAAAGAAAGGGATCCTGTGGCGTGCTGTCAGAATGACTCTGCAGTTACTGTGTCTGCTGTCTATGAATGTGTGTTTGTTTGTGTGGTTTCAGCTGAATGTAATGTGTCTTACCTTTATACACCCCAAAATGGAGGCAGCCATAAAGAGGCAGTTGCCCTCACAAACACACTTGCACTCGATCCAGTGTGCCACGCTTGTTAATTATTCATGATATCCACCATTACGCTCATATTGGCCCTGCACCAAATAGATTTCCCCTGACTGCATTTGATAGAAAACAGGTTTTCAGCTAGAGTGTATATTACTGCATCTCTTTATAACAGTGGCACCTTTCAGCTATACAATAAACAGTCGTGTTGTGTGTGTCTCATTATGAGTTGGTAATACATCTACGCTGTCTACCTCTACCCCCTGGTATTTCAGGACCATGGACAGATACTGTTTATACATGGAACAGCAGGCTAACTCATGGTCACATTGTACTTGACCCCAGTGTCGTGTTATAAAAAGAGTTATACAGATTGAAATAGTACTAGTTCCAATATCTGTATATAATATAAGTGTCAATAAATATGTAGAGCTGGTGGAAAGGGAAGGTTAATGCTAACTAGGTGCATTTACCGAAATATTGTACTATTTCCATTTTAGTTGCTTTATACTTCTGCTTTAAATATTGTAGGCTACTTATTTCTCCACTACATTTATCTGACAGATTATTAATTATCAATTACTTTGAAGATCAATTACATTACATTTGCATTTGAAATCTGAGCTAATAATGCATTGTTATAGAAAACACCACCAACACAACTAAAGCACAACTTTAACCAAATTCTGTTAAACCAAATAATCTTCCTGGCTTTTTACAGACTTTCAACCAAATGTCAGTCATCAGAGCATGAAGTTTTACTGTAAAAGTAAAAAGGGCATTTACTATACCCAAATTTGTCAGCATAGTTATGACAAATCAGAGTATTGTGGTTACTCCAACATGGTTCTATGCTCAGCTCTGTTTTGCTGTAAAGATTTTCAGAGTTACTGTCACCAAAGTCACATAAAATGTCTTCTATAAAAAACTATAAAAGCAAGTGCCTTTTAAACAATTCGGATACTTTGACATTGGATTAGGGTTTTATTGAAGAAAAAAAGGATTAAACATATGAAAGATGGTCCCAGGTCTCTAAAGAGCTGAGGTATGTGCTTGGCTATAACTGCTTCTTCTACCACTGGTATTACGGAGCTGCACATAATACAACCCTATATATATATATATGGTCTATATATTTATATAATTTAGTTGATAACATACTTGTATTGTTATAATAAAAGTGTATGATATATATGTATTATGTGCTACTCACTGGGACTTGTTCCTGTTATTTTAGTCGATGGATTGTATGGTCCCTTGATGTTTTTTATTATACGGCAGCACTTAAGCAGCTAATGAACTCCACTGCTTCCCCTGCCGCTAATAGTAATATTAAACATGCATTTTATTTATAGTATATATCAATAGTGTGTGAGTGTGTAATGTGTCTTGGTGTGTGTGCCTCAGTGAGTGGCGCACATGCATCGATCCAAGACATGTCCGCTGAAAGCAGGTGTTGCCTTGGGAACCCCAAATGCTGTCGTCCTCTCCTTGCGTAACCATGGTGATGGTCCCTTCAGCGACGTGTTGTGTCTACTTGCGTCACTGTCAAAATATGTACACAACACACACACACCAACACACACTCACAGGCTGGAGAGGCTGTTTTCGGGAAGCCGGACCTGTTTGATGGTTGAACAGCTGACAGAGTGACAGACAGACAGATGCAGGTGCAGCTTGCAGTCTGGCTCACTATGTGGAGCCTGCAGGACCCTGTGTGTAGATCATTCATCCTAGGTCTGGGTTTCAATCTTTAATTTATTTCAGAGATGTCATACCTGGAAATGTATGTTGGGGATGAAAAGCTTGCAGCACAACATACATCCACAACGTACAGTGGGCCACAGTGTATGGCAAATAAATAAAATTATATTATCTATATATTATCAGTCATCTATTAATGTTCTATGCTGGATAATTTATACCTGTGGTGCTTGTTATTCCAGAATAATGAGCTAGTCCATGTTTGTTGTTTGGCCATGAAGGCAATAACACTCTTTTTTTCCCTTTAGGTCCAGGGATGATGTCATCAATGATGTCATCAGGGGGACGCCAAGACCCACAAGGACAGCCTGCCTTCAGCTCTGACTACCTGTCTGGTGAGGGTGGAGGGAGTGTTTGTTGTTTATCACATGGTTTCCACACTTTAATGTAAAAGATGTTTGCACAGAGGCCCGAGGGGGCTCTAGTGCCCCCTCTAGGTCAGTCCCAAAATAACACTTACCAGTCATAACACTTTGGGGCACAATGTAAGGATGTTGGGCCTCATCTAGCAACATTTTCTTAAATTTCTCTTATAGTTTCTCTTGGTTTTCTTTTCTGAAAATATGAAAGAAGTGAACTGCAGATGCACCTAACCTTCTTAATCATGCCAATCTGCACTTATGTCCTTTCTTACCTGAGAGAAGACTCCCAGAAATCAATGGGTACTTACAAAATAAGAACAAATTGTGGATTTGAAGAATAACAGGAACGTTGTTAGTACATCGCTTCCTGCATGACGTCACATTATTCAGGTGGTGACTGTGAATACCAAAGCAAGCAGCGTTTTCTTACATAATCCACAAATGTATGCCACATTTATTTATAAATTCATCATCATACGTTTCCATCAGTCTTTATCACATTTTGTTTTTGTTGCTATGCCAACATGCTCATAGGCCTTGTTTTCTTTTTACTTGTCATAGCAGGAAAAGCACAGGTGTAACCAATAACACTGATGAAGTGTGACAATGAGCCAGCATGCACAAAGACATTACCAAACTGAAGCAGCTAAATGGAATTCAGCCGTTCGATCCTCATCTGCCCCTCATCTCTCCTGATCATCCAACTCTTTCTGCCACTCCTCCCACTCATTTTGACTCTGTCTCTGGCTCTCTGCCCCCACTGTTCTTTCTCTGTTGCTTTGTGTCTGTCTCTCTCTCTCTCTCTCTCTCTCTCTCTCTCTCTCTCTCTCTCTCTCTCTCTCTCTCTCTGTGTGTCTCTCTCTCAGGTCCTATGATGGGGGGGAGGACAGATCAGTGGAGCCTGAACAAGACAAAGGACAGCAGCATGCCTGACTCATTTCTAGGTCCACTTTACTTTTTCACCTCCTGTGTCCCTTTTTTACCTCTGACCACAAACTCAGAAGGAGGATATATTATCCCTCCTCTCTGTTTGTATGAATTGAGTCATTTGGCTGAAATTGGTGCTTCAAATTCGGCTCTAACCTCTTGTTTTAGCTGTAGATGTTTTGTTGTCATGTTCATGTGCTCATAAAACAGCTCATTATCTAGTGACACAGAAGTAAAAGTAAAGTATTTTGAGCAAAAATCAACCTGGGAGGTAAACCTTGATGCAAGCTGCTGCTTTGTAGTTGTTCAGCACTGTTCGATGTTTACAAACCACGAGTCTCAAACTCGTACACAGTGTATTTATGTTGATCATTGCATTAGCATCTTTCTCTGTCTTTACCAGCCCTTTATTAATATCTCAGTTATGTCTAAATACCTTTTCATACCACACACTCTTTTTGTTTTCTTTGTTGTCTGCTTGCAGGGCTGGAATAAAGAATGTTTCTCCGATACCAATAAATATCACAATATGGCAGATGTATGCAAAATAAACATTTAATGCAAGTAAAACTTCAACATTAGTTTTCTTATTCATTGAAATTGAATTAATTAAGTCATTCCTCTGGAGAACATGTTTTGTAAATTATAACACCAAATGACATTCAATAATATGAAACTATTAGCCAGCCCTGCGTTTTGAGTTTTTGCACTGATGTAACATCTGGTGTATATGATGAATGTAGATTTTCATACATGCTGACATTGTTAAAGCTGCAGTAGCTTCTGTGCTTTTAGTCCATTCTGCTAGTTGATGTTTTGGGACACTCTCACTACCCACACAGATAACTTTGTGTGTATTCTAGGTTAGGATTATCATTGCTGCTGCTCTGGAATTTTGTGTGTCATGTTAGTTAGCCAGAGCTAACAGGTTAAGACAGGTGTGTGGTAAAATGTAAGGACAAGTGCTGCATATTAATGTGCTTTTAAAGAGGTATTTTGACTGGTTCCCAGCACATTTCTTTCTTTTCTAAATACTGAAAATGATAATTAAGCTATCATGACATTATAGTAGTGTGAAAATTGTTGCAATAGCCCTGTATTTTCTATTTCTATTTCTACTTCTATTTAGCTTTTAAATGCTTAAATTTATCAATAACAGTTATTATTCTTGATGTAACTATTATAGTATATACTATATCAACTATAATACATTATTTTATTTACTTTATTTTTATCAATTCTGGTTATAAAAAATACTATTACCTGGTCTCGGCACTATTATTCCTTACTGTACAGTGTATCCATTTTTTCAAAATAAAACACAGCAAGCATTATGTATATAGTGTGTATAGAAGCAGCATGTACAATTTTCATCATGCCAGTTGTCTGTTTGTGATGTATCTCTATATTCTGTCTCCATTAGGCTTCTCTCAGTCTGGGATGGGAGGGACCATGGGGTCCAGCCTGCCACCCTTCCAGACCAGTATGAGCTCCGCTCTCGGCCAGACTGGGATGGGGTCAGCTATGGACACCCAGAAGAGTTCTGGCTTGTTTGGTGTGGAAAACAAAACCAGCAGTAACAGCGGTGGAAACAGTCCGTTTAAAACCAGCGATCTGTTTTCTTCTGGTGGCCCGGGAATCCACTCTACGGATCATTCCACAGGTATTAGAAAAAGGGCTGGTTGCATGTGTTACTGTGTGCTGGGGGCAGCAGGGGCGGGCGGAGGCAGGAGAATGAGGAGAGACAAGGAAGTTACTGGGTATGTTTTGGGATTCACAACCTTTTCTAGACAAAATTTCAGTTTAATAAGTTTACCTGACACTGGGAAAATACTGAGCAACATGTATGTTTTAAGGAGGGTTGGTTGGATTTGTTGAGCCCTTGCTTAAATTGAAAAATCTAAATCCTGGTCATATCTTCAATTGAATTTAATAAAACCTAATAAAACCTATGTTATGCCTATCTTGGTTCTACTGTACTAGCCTACTAGGAAGTTGGCATAGGTTTCAGTAGCAGGGCAGCAGGGGTGGGTGGTGACAGAAGAAGCATAACATCCTGATCTCACAGGACCTGCTTTCAGCAGCAGAGGGCAGCCTTTTCTAGTTGTTTTCACTGTAGGTGGAACTGTTCCAGCTCTCTTTATCTACTGACAAACAGACAGATGGGACTTATGCAGTGACCCTTTTAAATACTCAACACAGGACAACCCATGATTGATCTTTACTGCAGTCTGATGTAAAAACAAAAAAAGCTGCTTATATGTAACTTACTGCTCCTCTGAAATCAGGAGTTGCCTTTCATTGTGAATTGTTAATGTTCATAATAATCAATAACTGCTCGAGTGAATTACATTTGAGCATTAGCTGAATTTGTGGTTGCTGAGCAACAAAAACACAAACCCACGGGAGGATTTGGCATCAAAGACAGAGCAGCACACCATCCCTTCTGTAGCCTTCCTGTGTAATTGTGCCCAAAAGCTACATTTCAGATTCTGTAATAGAGGGACGCATGCAGTGCTGCAAAAAGTTATTTCATCATGTGAACATGATTTTACCTTCAGTCAGACCCCAAAGCCCTCAACTGAACTTTTAAAATGACTCAGCATCTCAGCATCTTATTAAACATTTATTTGTATCTCTTCTCCCTTCTGTTTTGCTCAAGTACTAAAGATAGCCCCGCTAGCTTAAAGCCCGCTAACGGTACAGGCTGGTTGTTATGCAACAGTTGTTATTCTAGTCCAGTCATGATGCATCAGTAACACAGATGACAATACACTGCAGACATTTTACCAGACTCCGTCTAGAAACCAGGGGTGAGTTAAGGAAAGATTGTCTGTTACCCCAAATGATGTTGTCACCCACATTTCACCCGGCCCATAGAATGAACTGTATTTGTTTGACCATAAAAATAGCATAACATTTTTAGGGAAGAGACTATAGTGATGTAACCACATGCTGCTATTTTAAAATTCTGTGTTTAGCTAACCGCTCCGTCACACAGAATACCTGCAGACATTCTGTAACTGTGCCAATCCTGTTACATCATTCAGATGACAACAATGAAGGGTAGAATATAAGCTTTGACAAAGCAAACCCAATCTTTGATCTTTGTTCTTTCTCCTGGTTATCTCAGTGTCTCACTAAGGCCTGATAGCATACACGATACCAGACTTTCATGAAAAAAGGCCTATTACACCCATCCAAAAGCAATGTAATGCCACTGACATTAAAATCCCCTTTGTCACAGTTGCTTTTGCACATCAGGTTAGTAAAGACATCTACACCACCGATTGCAATTGTTTTTCTTCAGTAAAACATAGCTGTTTTAATAGTTTTCTGATTTCTCAAGCTTTTCTTAGGGTAGCTGAGTATGAGTAGTTCATTCCCGTTGGCAGGCAGAAAGAAACATCATCAGTCAAAGCAAGTTACGTATTTCTTCTTCCTGGCTCATGTCACTGGGTATCTAATGAAGCAAAGTTACTGGTTTCAAAGAGGGGTTCTGTCTCTAGTCCAGCTTGGCCTTTTTCCATCATTCCGTGTGAGTCTGTGAACAGCTACAGTGAGAGTAACTAACCTGGCTGAGAAGTTGGTACAGCTCACTGTAGATGCTCCTTCCATTACTCCCTGACATATTTCAAACTCATCCGCTGTCAAAACCTTTTGAAAATGACAACATTTCCTGTGACTTCTACTTCATAATAAAAGTTGGCTAGCGTTTTGCCAGTTGAATGCTTTTAATGTTGCACTAGCAGTAACTTAATACTACCTTTCGCCGGGTATTTCACCACAGAAGCCCAGTTTATAATATTCTAGGTATACAAATATTCAAATGCTTTAATCATTGGCCATTCTGCAGGCTGGATGGGAAGCTTTGGCGTGTCAGATGTGGCCACCAGTTGATCAATCCTTATCATACGGAAAATTGAATTTTGTGAAACTACCAGACTTCTGCAGGACACTAATGATACATTTACCAAGCAGCTATAGCTCTGTCTGTGTTACCTCCTCTCGCACTATTAACATTAAAGTCCTCTACACACCTGTTTTTCTGTCCGTATATGTGCCAGTGGGCTTCAGGGAGATGAAACCCTGCATGAAACATTTGCATAGGCAGTGGTGTTTGAGGCAGCCAGTACTCCAACATTAATGTTTCTCTTGGCAGTTTGCCTGGCTCCAGATTAAGATGTACTCCCATTAAATACCTTATCACATTAAATATAGATGATAATGCCCTGGCCTCTTCTCTTCTTAGAGCTGTTTATAGCCGGGAAGCATCGGAGGCCAAAGGGAGAAAATAGCAACTGCAATCAATTTAAAAAATCCAGGCAAAGGCGCCAGATTTAGAGGGGAATGCACCTTTTTCTGGATTCACATTAATATTCAGTGATGTAAGACAGAGTGAGACGAAAAGAGGAGATGGGAGGATGAAAATTGAGATGGAGGAATGATAATTTAGACAGGAAGAGAACATGATAAGCAGACTGAGAGGGCTGTGTAGGTCAGACTTTTATTTATATGGTCTATCCCTCTATCTGTCTGTTTCTATCTGTCTGTTCATCTTCCTGTCTCTCATTTTCTCTGAGCTGATGAAGTGCTTGTCAGAAATAATTGAGAAATATGACTTCAGAGGAAAAAGCCATGGCTAACTGTGATGACTTCGCCCTCAAACAAGAGACGATAGTGGGAACAGACAAATGAAGGGATCATTTCAGTGCAAGCTGAATTCCTTTTGTTGTTTGTTAAAGCTTGCATGTGCAGTTTGTCATAGTTTTGTGATTCTACAACACATTCCATATCTGTATTGTTTTATGTGTCATTTTGGATCATTTTATTTTTCTGCATGTGTGACGATCCATTTATTACCATGATTCTTCAGGCTTGCGTGCATTTAGTTTTAATCATGCATGCTATGTGAAATGTGCTTGATTCATTTACCTGAAATTGCTGCAGATCTCTGTTGCTCCCAGTGTGCTTGTTTTGTTCTATGTGTGTGCCTGCTCCCTACACAAGACCAGCTTTGTCCCCTGGATAATGATGATGATGATGGTAATGATGATGATGATGATGATGATGATGATCTTGTTTAAAAGAGGTAAATCAGATTTATTTTTTACGAAAGAGAGAATCCAACAATGTATTAATTTGACTAAAAGGTGCTGTCCATCTGTCCATTCCACACGATGCACACGACACAGAACATTCAGAATTGAGAATTTGCACAATATGATATGACCAGACAATAGATCTTTATCTTTATTTCCTCCCATTTTACTTTATTCATTGTGATTGATATAGAATCAAACAGTAATGATCAAAAGCCATGATCTTAAAACAGTGGTAGGCCTCTTTTAAAGATATAAAATGTAGTTATTGTGCTTTAGTCCTACAAAATTGCCATAATTTGCCACATTTTTAGTAAAAACACTGTTTTATAGGAAATGTAAATTTAATTCAAACCAGTTTCACCCTGGCAGATATGAGAGACAGCCATGTTGCAACTGTGACACAATCAAGCAGATAAATCAGAGCAAATTCTTATCACCCGATGCCCTGTGCTGAACCATTATGTTGCTGTAAAACAGCACCTATAAATATCTGTCTTAATATAAATTGATTATTCACATTCAATTTAATGAAGCTGCACCATAGAAACTCCGTAACAGGTGAGTAAAGTACAGGTTGAATTGTATTTATAAAAGCAGGCACCATCACATACATCGTATTTTATGAAAATTTCAAAAAGGTTGTGCCAAAGGAGCCTAAAAGCAGTCAGACTATGGTTACTAGGGCTGGAAACACCCTGGGAAGAAAACGTTATGGCCTTTCTTGCATATTGTCTGCACCAGCAGCATGCAACAATGCAAAGGTCAGGGTAAGAGTGCTTATTTGTAAATGTGTCATCCAAATGCTGTGCTAACACGTTTCAGTATCATATGTTAATATAAAATGCAAATATTGCCAAATGCAGTTCTTCTATCATAGTATCTACTATCATATAGTACTAGCTTACGGTTGCTACCCCCACCCAGCCCTCATCAGGTCTCAGTAGGGGCACTACAATGACAGTTGTCAAGTTTAGATGGTGATCTCAGAAAGTCTCTGAAAGAAACAATGACACTAGCAGAGATGATCTTTCTCCATCTTGATATGCAACTTATTTAACAATACATGAACACCACAACCTTGTTTTTAGTCTTGTCTTTTGTCCGTATTTGAGGCAATACAAGAAGAATTATGAAGGATTTTAAAATATCTCTCCCTGGATCACTACCGTCACACTAGTGACTTTAGATGAGCAGGAAACTGTAGTATGATCAGGACTCTAGGTAGTCAGATAATGGGCACGCATTGTGTATATTTTAGCATAGAGCTTGCCTTCCTATTGTTGTACTCATGACTGGCTAACTGGGAAATGTTTTGATTCAAGAGTCAGACAAACTCGTAGAAGCCTTCATCTCTGAAAGCCAAACAAAAGTACCGTGAGGGGTAGCGATCATTGTCAGACTAACAATGGATGAATTCTTCTTCCTTGTCAACACCTGCCATCTACATTAGTATAATGCTACTAGTGGCTAATGTAGCTTTTAACCGCTAGCCTTTAGCAGAGATGAGGAGTGGGTAAGCTCCCTTCTTTCAAACTCCCAGATTTTTTCTTTTTCAAACTTTGCCTCAAATGACATCACTTGAGAAAGTTTACTAAACTTTGCCCAACTCCCTATGGAACCACGGCTTTATCCACCTTTTTTTGCATATACACAGTAGTTCTGCCCAATATCTGTAAACAGACACTGAAATTTGTTTGAGTTCCCCTTTAAAAATAAGGAAATATTAACCTTCCAACTACCATATATTTATATATTCAAATTATCCAAGGGACTAGATTAAACATCTCAGTGAGCACACACTTACTCTTTACAAATACTGATACATTCACTAGGAGCGAGTTACAACCCTAACCTCAGCCTATTCATCATACATTCAAACTACATGCAAAAGCATTAAAAAATGGTGCCCATGAGTTTGTCTGACTTTAAGAAGGAACAACTAATTCTCTGGTTACCTATCCCTTCAAAAACTGTGCATCACAAACCAATAATCCAAAACGGACCTTATACAGTCCTTACACTCATTTGCTGCCATGAAACAGCAAGCAATTTAAACATGAACCAGTGAAAAACCACCTATGGTAACCACAATCTGATGGCTTTTTGGCAGGTGATTCTCTGACACAGTATGTGATTGGTTCCTCCTCTTATAAAACCCTCCCCCCTCGGCAGCTCCCGTCCTCTCACCCAGCGGCTCAATGGATGACAGCAGTCCCACTTCCTCCAACTCCGAACCCCTCAGCCCCGAGAAAGTGGGGCTGGGGGGCGAGGCTGGCAAGCAACAGCAGAGACGGAAGAAGAAGAAGAGGAAGGGCCATGACGGGGTCTACGACTTCTTGGATAGCCAGGAGAATAACATCGGCAAATCCGACGAGCATGGGATGCATGATAAAAGCGGAAGGGAGGTGGAGGACGATGAGGACGAGGAGGAGAACTGGGATTCATGGGAGATCAGAGAGAGTGGAGGAGGGGGTAGGGTGAAAGGCAAGAAGAATAAGAGTCGGGCAAGACTTCCAGAGGAGTGGGGAGTACCCCAACAGCCCATCTCTCCCATGCTAGCTACAGTCACCCCTGCTGGTGCTATGACTGCCAGCTCTAGTCCTTCTGACTCCAAAGCTGCAAACTCCAGCCCCAGTCCTGTTTTTCCCTCTGCCCCAGCACAAATACCCACAAGTTTCACCAACCGTTCCCATGCTAGCCTTGTAACAGATTCATCTCCACGCTCTTACGAGCCGATGTGTGTAGACGATTTCCCTACGCCTGCTAAAGATGGTCAAAAAGTGAACGAAGAGAAAGTTTCAACCAGCAAACTCGAACCCAACAATAGCTCAGTGGCCAATGCTGGCAAGACTAGTGCAGCTGGGGATGTTAGCGGTAGTTTGGCATTGATGACAGGGGACAATCTGAGCCCAGTCTCCCAGACCTTCTCTTTCTTGGATTCAGTCCTTCAGACCCCTCCAGGTTCCACTCCTGACTCACAGACCACCACCCCTATCACCAACACCCCCTCCCTTGCTACCGCTCCCCTGACAAAGTCCACTCCGACAGACACCATCATCCCTGCTTCACAAGCCAATTCTGTTTCCAACCCGTTCAAGAGCACTCCAGATCTTCCTCCTACTTCCGCATTGTCCACCAACCCATCACCCTTTCCTGCCACAATCACACACGCTCCAACATTTGCTGTTGGATCAGCCCTCAATGTCGATGCAAAGCCTTTTGTCCCCTCAGCCACACTCATAGCCTCCACAGCCGGACCCAGCGCGACTGCAGCCCCTCCTGTGGTTAGTACAGCAGCAGCCTCCACAGGGACCGCTGCTCCTGCGTCCACTGCCACCTCAGCCACGCCCCTTAGTTCCTCACCTTCCCCCTGTAAGAATGAAGCCACTCCCACATCACCACCAGACACAGCCCCCAAAAATGTTGCCACGCCCATTAGCCCAGCAACGGCCACCCCCCCTCCCTCCATCACCCCCGCAGCCCCTCCCTCTCTCCCTGCACAATCAGAGCACCAGGAGTCCTCGTCGTCACAGCTCCCCCCACTGGAAGGTTGGTGAACTACAGGGAAGATTATGAATAACATGGGGCTAATATTGAACAAAATTATTGTAGGTTAGGATAGCAGGAAGTAGCTACTATTTGTCTTCTTGTATGCATGGCTCTTTGTCTGTCGATTGAGCACCAGGGCTGCTTGGTGCTTGATCCTTTCCTCTATGTATTTGTAATAACCAGGGCCCGACAGATAAATGTAGAATGGCTTATTTCTTAATCGATTTTTTAATATATTCATTCAACAATAGATCTACCCACAAGTCTGCTCTTTTTACCATTAAAACCTCCCTAACAAATATTATTTTACCTGATATACTTACCAGGGAAACATTTGTGTCCAGATATACCACTCTCCCCAACTGTTGGTATGAGTATGGGAGACAAATGTACTGTGCTGGTCGGGCCCTATATTAACAAAACTGCAAGGGTAAAGTGATAAGTTGTCTGATTTGATTTCCCTCTGCTTGCCTCTGTGTATCTGTTACCATGATCATAACAATTTTATTACTTGACCTGCTGCTGATAGCTCCACTATCTATGCTTGCTCCACTGTCTTCTGTTTCATCTGATTGTCAGCTGCCTGTGTAACCTCCCACTATCTCCTCTCTGTCTGTAGAAGCAAAAACACAACCTGGGTCCTTGCATCTCAAAGCTAGTTTGCTAATACCTTTTAGCTTTATAAAGTTTATCGACTGTATAGAGCCACATTAATGCAGAAAACATGAAATTTCCCTCAGGGATCAATAAAGTATTTCTAATTCTGATTCTGATTCTGATAATGGAGTCAACATGGCTATGGCAAAAAAAAAAAAAAAACACGTTGAGAATTGGTTTACCAATATTGTAGGTTGGTAAAGCACAACCTCTAATTATCCAACTTTGGCTTATCATGTCTTTATTTGTGTCTATTGCAACTGTTTATAATGACCACATTTAGAGTCTCAAAGATTTCGATCTGTAGAAGCAGAAATTGTAGGACATTTAGATTTAGACAGTAAATTTGATATATGCTACTGAAGACCAGACTGGAGAATGTCGTGGATTCTTAAGTATACAGTATTTGAACCCATTAGAGGTTACAGTTTGCCATGCAAACTAAAGATGCTCTGAACTCAAAGTCGCCTTACTAGGTATCTTCCCCTGCCAATCTAGGGACAACTGTCAGTGATCATAGACCATACTTAAAGGTGCAGTGTGTAACATTTAGGAGAATCTATCAAATAAGACGACTTTGAGCAAACTGCTACTACTTTATAGGTACACCCTGACAGTCTTTTGCAAACAGCTCTGCCATAAAGTCTACTTTATTTCTATAAATATAATGCATTCCAGTACAACATTATAACTAACTATGACCAGGTAATCTGCAGAACAGTTGTACTGGACTGCAATATATTGTCCAGGTGTACCTAATAGTGTAGAGTGTATTTTCAAGGTCAAGAACAAACCCTCAACCTCAAAGAGTTACAGTACCTAAAATGATCCTGCAATGCAAAGATCCAGTGCAGTTTATAGGTTTTAAAAAATCTGTTTTTGTTCCTGTTAAAGTCCTAATCCAGGTTAGAGTCTGCTTGTTGGTGTGTTATCCTAAATTATAAATAAAATCACCTTCAAATATCAGGGTTTCCCCCAGTCATTACAGCAGAATTTCAGAACTGCCGATTCTTGACACAGTGCAAGTCTAAAACACTTATGTGTACAGCATAACAGATATAGCTGACCACCCCATGAGTGTAACAACCATGTACTGTAGTGCCCTTTTGGCCTGCCTGACCTCTTGTACACTGGGGGAAACCCTCAGCTGACCTCAGTCTAATGCTTCTTTCTCCTGATAATGCTGGGTTTCAATCCTGACTACTGTGTCTCTGGCTAAATCCCACAGTCTGCTGAATGCAGCTTTTATTTTCCAGTGTGATTCCCTTTTTTTCTTCTCCTCAGCCCTTTTGCACTACTAAAATCTGACCCAGTACTTGAAATTGTTTGTGAAATGTGTTTTAACTGCTCCTGATCAATTAACTTAATCTGACTCTGTAGCTCTAACTTCCAAATTCTGACGCTGTAGGCCTTCATTCTAACATAGTGGCATTCACTAACACAGTATTTTCTTTCACACTGGCCTTCGAGCTGTAATAGTGACAAATCTCTTAAAATGTCATGTAACTTCCAGAAATTCTATCTTTTGAGGCACATTCATGATTTACATTTTGTATTAGTTCTAACCCTGAGACATTGGTAGGGTTGATGTTGGAGACATTTGTTAAATGCAATGAGGCAGATTCTGAACTGACTGAAAATCTTTTTTTTCTCCCCCTTCCCTTTTTTCTGTTTCCTAATGCCACAATCATGTGACCTTCAACAACAGGTAAGACACGTTCTCTTTTTGGCACTTTGCATATTTCACTCAACTTTGTAGGACGTATTGGACACCACTGACCCCACAGTGGTGTTACTGTGACTGTGTGGTGAATCGTTATTTCATTTATTTTAACAAACATGGCAGTAGGGATGGGAATTGATTCGATTTTACTGATACCAATGCCACACAAACTGTGTAAGGCTTATATCTAACCTGTCTCAGTAGGGGAAATCAGCTTGCATTAGAAATGTATACTGGGTTCAAGGAACTGAAGGTCTACCAATGCTGGGGGCGGGATCCGGAGGCCAGCAGCATTTGTCATTTTGGAACAATTCCATGGACTCCTTTGCCGGCCTTTTAGCACATGAGAACATGGCACTACACTGTGAAAGGGTACTAGTTGGCAATCTGTAGCTGTGGAAAGAGGTATAATGTTGTAGGCCACATCAAATTAAAAAAAGAGAGAGATATCAGCAGATTTTCTTCATATTTGATATGATAGAACTGGAGGACATACTGGGTGTAGAATGTATTGGTTAGGTCACCAAGCTGATTTATATCATCAAAAGTTAAAAAATATGTCGAGTTGATTTTACACTAAATATGACAATACTGGAGGACTATCTGGATATGCATTCCAAAGTTAATGACATTTGAACAAACATTTGAATTATCTTAATGCACAGATGAATAATTGAATAGAAAGCTTTTGAATATACTGTATATATCAACTGACATTTACCAGCACTACCATTTTATCACTGCTATATTCATTTAATTAATGAAATTATGCATGAGTTGTATCATTATGTTACTGAGCTGATTTTAACGTGCCCTCCAGTATCTACCAGATGGTATTACTTGGAAAATCATTATATTTCACATTACACAAATAGTTGTTAGACTATTGTCAGTTCAGGGACATGTGAGGCAATGCATACTGGACAAATGACAAATAACTGTGAATCTTTAGAGAAACTCTGTGGCTCTTCATTCATCTCACAGCTTTCAGTCTGTGTCTTTGTGTTGGTTGAAAGGCTGCCTCTGCTGCAGGCTAGAGGATAGCACCATCCAGGCTGTCTACTTTGCTCATTCAGTCAGCACTAAGCTGTCCCTGGGTGAATATGTTGCTCTATAGCTGGTCCTCCCTTGATGCGGGACTTGACTGAGATCTGGTTGCACCAACTTCATGGGATTTGAAAAATGGAGGTTATTAAGACGTAATTTTTCAAAAACCTACCTTATCAACCAGTATCCTTCCCCTTTTTTCATTCTTAATTCAACACATCAAAATCCATTGTGCTATGAACATTTGAACATCTGTAGCAGATGAGTGGCACCACCTTTAGAAACACTTTTCATCTTGAAAGTCTTTGCCTAAGCTTGGCAGTTATACATTTACATCTACAGTAGAGTCATATCTGTTGGTTTAATAGAAATATACACACAGTAACCCCTGTACACTGATTCACACTAAACTGTTGTGTGAGATGAGGTGAAAACCAAAAGGGCGTAAGTGACATTTGGGGCAAAAATGAGTTATATATATAAAATGAAAGCTCTTGCTAAGCTCTTTGTACAGCAAAACGTGTACATGTTAATTCTAAACCAATCAACCAACCAATGTTAGTCAATTATCAAGTTAGCTGTTAAATTATGTCAAATTGTATATTCCATTTTTTTCCATTTCCATATTTCATATCCCCTACTTCAGTGGTTCCCAACCTTTTTCCTTAAGGGAAATAATTTTTTTCCTATTATTCTGTAGCTAACGACCCCTGACTTTTATTTTATTTCATATTATATTTGAAACTGTACAATGAACCCAAACAGTGAACCCAGTCACTGCAAGAACTTTGTGTAAAACAAGTCATTTTTAGTAGATTATTTCCTGTTTAGGGAAACTTTTATACCATTATCTGTGTTATGTATTGTTTTTTCATTTTTACAATCATACATACAACAATCATACAGACTTAATGGGCTTTATTTTTTCCCTGACAATTGGCCATTGTTCTATTAGACAGTTTACTTATTTAATTTACATATACATTTCTTCACAAAAAGTGAACCAAATAGCAATAAACTGGAGGAGAAATATCAAATCCTTAGTACTCAAGCCAGTAAAATTCCCATCAGTATAAACTACCTTCAAGTTGCTAAAACCCCCATATTCCCAGAAAAACACGACCTCAGTGTCCTCACTGGTAGCTGCGCCACTGCTTTACACTGTAATGCATCTGAAATAAACAAGTAATAGTTTCAAATGAACATAAAAACAAAGAACTTACAATATGGGAAACAAAGTCTTTTAATATAAACTATATAAACAGTGAGGCTGCAGGTAAAATCACATCACTGACTTGAATTTGTGAGTCAATAGTCTGACATAAGAGATACTGTTCTCAAAGTTTTGCTCCTGAATCATACATTTATCATATTTTGTCACATCTACTTGCAAGATTTGGCCCAGACAGTGCAGGTGTAGTGCTTTTGTTACTCAGTGAGACTGGGACTCTAATAGAGTTATTGAGAGCTGACTGCTTCCCTGGTTGAAGGTTAGGTAGAAATCTGCTCTGTCACTCTTTTTATTCTATCAGTGTGTGTCTTTCTTCTGCCTGTATCTGTCTATTTATAAACC